GACAGAGGCTTTTGGAAGCAGGGCTCTTGCAGCAAATCCTTCCAAGCTCTGGAGCCTTTTCCCCCCTGGAGATGTTTGCAAAGCTACTTTTTCTCAATTCCAGATTCTCTGTGGTTGCTGTTGCTTTAAAAAAAATGTTTTCGAGGTTCCACCTTTTTGTTTGTCAGCGTTTGTTTTAAATCCGTGTGCTCAGCGCTTCGAGCTTTTGGAAGTGCAGCAGAATGAAGAATTAAAACAGAGATAAATCAAAGTTACTTGGCTTGGGCCACAATCTTACACATGCTTGCGTAGAAGCCACATCCCTTTGTGGTGGAAAGCACCACCAAATCACAGCCGATTTACGGTGAACCTGTGGGATTTTCAGGGCAAGAGAATGTTCAGAGGTGGTTTGCCATTGCCTGCCTCTGCGTAGCAACCTTGGGCTTCCTTGGTGGCCTCCCATCCAAGTACCAACCAAGGCTGACGCTGTTTTGCGTCAGCCATGCAGGTCAGGGTGCAGAGAATCTTAGGAGCATGCAATGAGGAACCCGTTTTAAAATGTAAAGGACAAGCCATTGCAATTTATTTGTCTGCAATTATGCAGTAATCCATTTTTTAAAAAAATGGGTGATTGAAGCAGTTGTTGGTATCTTACGGAAGGTTCCTCCCCCTCCCCTGGCCACGTCTCCCTCTTCCCGCATTCGTGTCGATTCCAGGTCCCTTCCTGCTCCAGTGCTACCAGGTGGGCAGCCAGCCCAGCACTGCCATGTTCCACAGCGAGGAGAACGGCTCCAAAGGCATGGATCCCCTGGTGCTGATCGACGCCATCGCCATTTGCATGGCCTACGAGGAGAAGGAGCTCTGCAAAATCGGGGAGGTGGCCCTGGCGGTGATATTTGATGTGGCGAGCATCATCTTGGGCTCGAAGGAAAGGGTAATTGGAAAAGGCTTTCCCTCATTCGGCTCAAACTTCTTTGCAGCTGGCGACGGGGTTCCAGGGAGCTTGCCAGCTCTGACGCCCGTGTCCCTTGGTTCTCCCTCACCTCCTAGGCTTGCCAGCTGCCCTTGTTCTCATACATCGTGGAGCGCCTGTGTGCGTGCTGCTATGAGCAGGCCTGGTACGCCAAGCTGGGGGGCGTGGTGTCCATCAAGTTCCTCATGGAGCGGCTGCCCCTCATTTGGGTCCTCCAGAATCAGCAGACGTTCCTCAAGGCCCTCCTGTTTGTCATGATGGACCTGACTGGAGAGGTAGGGGCACCGATAGAAATGGCTTTTCCCGAAGGGGGAGGGAGGGAGATGTGCTCTTTCCCCAAATCCACGCTTAAGCTTCAATTTTGCGCGAATCGGTCCCTTCACCATTGAATTTGGTGCTTCCAAATTTCTCAGAAGTTTTCGTGTTACTAGTGTTCGGTTCTGTTGTGGCTGATTTCCGTGCACTGACTGGTCTGCTGCCGTCTCAGGTTTCGAACGGAGCGGTCGCGATGGCGAAAACCACCCTGGAGCAGCTCCTGATCCGGTGCGCGACACCCTTGAAGGACGAGGAGAAGACAGAGGAGATCCTGGCGGCTCAGGAGAAGTCCTTCCACCATGTGACCCATGACCTGGTGCGGGAGGTGACCTCTCCGAACTCCACCGTGAGGAAGCAAGCCATGCATTCCTTGCAGGTGCTCGCCCCGGTCACGGGGAAAAGCGTCACGGTCATTATGGAGCCGCATAAAGAGGCGAGTCTATTTGGAATGTAAATTGCCTGTCCGGTGTGGTGGTGGTGGTGGGGATGCCCTTAGAGCAAGTGCTGCAGGCTGTTAGCCAAAGTCCCTAAGTAATTCTTTTAGTGTTTGTTTTAGTGTTTATTTTTATTTATTTATTTGTCATATTTGTACCCCGCCCTCCCCACAATGCAGGCTCAGGGTGGCTCACAGTCAATACATAAATACAATTAAAACAACATAAAATCATCTAAAACAATTCCATTATAGCTAGTACAGTATCATAAAGTGCTGGAGATGTTGGTTAGTTATTCAAGATGGTGTACTTTCAGAGTATACTTTCAAGGCTTAGGTTCCATTCTGCTCAAGATCTTCCTGCGGCTCAAGCTAGGTGTCAGAAACCAAGGCTAGATGCCAAAAACCAGGGGCCAGGGCTCTATAGTGGTGGCAGCTCCCTAGCTGAAAGCCGAGTGGAAGAGCTCTGTCATGCAGGCCCTGCGGAACTGTAAGAGATCCCGCAGGGCCCTGATCTCCTCCAGGAGCTCATTCCACCAGGATGGGATTGTTCATCCCACACAACAAGCCCTTTGACATAGGCGAGGCCTGCGGCTGAGGGTGTAAACCCAGCTAACATGGTTTGGCCAGAGAGCTCATGGCTGAGACGCAATTCGCATTCAGTTCTCCAAAGCACAGCTGTTGGGCCGCACTAGCTCTTGAAGAAACTTGGGTGGGAAGGTTTTATTTATTTTATTTATTTATTTCATTTGATTTCTTAACCGCCCTTCCCCACTTATGCGGGGCTCAGGATAATTTACAATGACATAAAATCTAATACAGTTTTAAAACCAGTTAAAACTACAAAAATTCAATATTAAAACTTTCAGCATAAATATTTAAACCGGTGGCATATTTAGCATTCAGATTTTTTTTTGGGGGGGAGGGAAGGGTTAAACTGCCAATGTCTCTCCCACCCCCTTTCAACATTCCAGTTCACTGTTCGAAAGTGATTGGCTGAGGCTTCTGGAGGGCTGAACCTGAAACCATTCATCACAGGGAGGCAGTAGAAAGTATCTGTCTTTTGAGTTATACCATACTGCACAGAAAGCTAAAGGTCTCAACACAGAACAATGCATGATTTCTGGTGGTGTTTGAATAATTTGTTATTGACCCCCAGGGGTGAGTTGGTGTGACTCATCTTGCAGAATCACTGGAGCAGGCAGTTTTATGCATATAGCACCAAAGTGGAACCATTTGCACTGATCTGGCTTTCAGTTTGTTTCTAAGTTCAGTACAAGGCGCTGCTTATTATCCCTCAGCCCTTCACAAGCTGGGGCCACAATTCTGAAGAACCATCTCTTTCAGATCATGCACATCCTTGAGTCTGCCCAATAACATCTTTAATCCATTCCTGTCATGAAGCAGCATGTTTGGCTACTTTCTGTTGCTATCTTACAATTTTATGATTCAGCCTTTCCCATAGTATTGTGCCCAAGATCTAGGGCCCCTTCATTGGACTATGCGATCCTCAGGATGAGACTCTTGTATTTTAACTGCATATGACTTCAGGTTTACCTCTGGCTAGGTTATTATGCTCTTTCTCTTCACAATCACTCCTCTCATTTAAATCCTCCTTTCTCTTCAGAATGTACCTTGTCCCTAGCTTTAATATTAATACTAATATTAATACTTTTATATTAATACTTGTGACCAATGTTCCCTCTAAGCCGTAGAGTCTTGTGAGCAAAAATTCCACTTTGTGAGCGACTGGCATCAGCATATGACTTCAGGTTTACCTCTGGCTAGGTTATTATGCTCTTTCTCTTCACAATCACTCCTCTCATTTAAATCCTCCCTTCTCTTCAGAATGTACCTTGTCCCTAGCTTTAATATTAATACTAATTAATACTTTTATATTAATACTTGTGACTCCATGAAGTTTCTAAGAACATAAGAACATCTGAAGAGCCCTGCTGGAGCAGACCAATGGCCCATTTAGTTCAGCATCTAGTCCAGCATCCCGTCTCACACAGTGGCTACCCAGTTCCTCTGGAGGGCCAACAAACAGGGAAGAGAGGCCGAGGCCTTCCGTTGATGTTGCCTCCTGGCTCTGGGTTTCAGAGGATTAGTGCCTCTGAATGTGGAGGTTCCCCACAGTCACCATGGCTAGTAGCCATTGATAGACTTGTCCTCCATGAATCTATCTAATCCCCTTTGAAAGCTGTTTATTCCTGTGGCCATCACCATATCCTCTGGCAGCGAATTCCATATTTTAATCACTGTCTGTAAGTAGTATTTCCTTTCGTCTCTCCTGAGCCTACTACCCATCCTCTTCTTTGGCTTGTTCTTTCATGAATTGCTATCAGGTCCTGCAGAGGGTTTTCCTTGAAAGGAGGAGGGGGATTTCACCAAGCCCCCCTTCCCTCTGCTGACTTCCAGGAGGGACCCCCCCCGTCAGGCTGTGGTGGTGGGAGGGTCACCTCTCCTCACAAGCAGCAATTGGGCACAGAGGATCCCAGGCTTGGGAGTTGTGTATCTGCTTTGCATGCAGAAGGTCGTAGGTTCGATCCCTGGTGCCTTCATTTAAACGGCTCAAGGCAGTAGGAGGTGCAGTAGACCTCTGCCTGAGGCCATGGAGAGTTGCCACCTGTCAAAGCAGGCGGTACAGACCTTGATAGACCAATGCCAGCTTCATGCAGGGCTGGGGGGGGGGCGTGTTTGAGGCTGCCTCAGGGGCAGAGGGGAATGAATCCGCCCTCAGCTAGAAGTGTTTCAGTCAGCGGATAAATTTTCGGCAAGATCCAGACCCGTGTTCCGAGGTGTATTTGAGGTGTTCAAAGTAGGACTGTTTTCTCCTGCAACGGATGCCTGGCTAAGGGATGCATGGAAGGCTTTTGTAAACAAAGAACATGTGAAGCTGCCTTCTACTGAATCAGACCCTGGGTCCATCAAGGTCAGTATTGTCTACTCAGACTGGCAGTGGCTCTCCAGGGTCTCAGGTGGAGGTCTTTCACATCACTTCCTGCTTTATCCTTTCAACTGAAGATGTCAGGTATTGAACCTGGGACCTTCTGCATGCCAAGCAGATTCTTTGCCACTGAGCCACAGCCCCTCTTTACAGCTCTCCAGGGTCTCAGGTGGAGGTCTTTCCCATCACCTACCGTCTGGTCCTTTTTCAACTGGAGATGATGGGGATTGAACCTGGGGCCTTCTGCATGCCAAGCAGATGCTCTGCTTCTGAACCACAAACCCTCTTTACAGCTCTCCAGGGTCTCAGGCAGAGGTCTTTCCCATCACCTTCTCCTTGATCCTTTTAACCGGAGGTGCCGGGGATTGAACCTGGGACCTTCTGCATGGCAAGCAGATGCTCTTCCCACTGAGCCACAGCTCCTCTCTGAACATGTTAAGCTGCCTTATACTGAATCAGACCCTTGGTACATCAAAGTCCGTATTGTCTACTCAGACTGGCAGCAGCTCTCCAGGGTCTCAGGCAGAGGTCTTTCTCATCACCTACTTCTTGATCCCTTTAACCGGAGTCACCGGGGATTGATCCTGGGACCTTCTGCATGCCAAGCAGAGGCTCTTCCGGTGAACCACAGCCCCTTCCCTATGGCTTTCCAGGGTCTTAGGCAGAGGTCTTTCATGGCACCTACTACCTCATCCTTTCAACTGGAGATGCCAGGAATTGAACCTGGGACCTTCTGCATGCCAAACAGAGGCTCTTCCCACTGAGCCATAGCCCCTCTTTGGACATGTGGAGCTGCCTGATACTGAGTCAGACCCTTGGTCCATCAAAGTCAGTCTTGTCTACTCAGACTGGCAGTGGCTTTCCGGGGTCTCAGGCTGAGACCCCTACCCCTGGACCTTTTAGCTGGAGATGCTGGGGATTGAACCTGGGACCTTCTGCACACCAAGCAAATGCTCTACCACTGAGCCACGCCCCCTCCCTGAGACTTTGGTCTTGTGATTCACCCGTTTAGCAGAGAATCTTTCTAATAACATTCAACTCAATGAGAAGCATTGCAGCTGTAAACTCTGGGTGGTGGTGGTGATTTTCGGAAACTGGGGTAGGTGGGTGGTGGTTGTATCCTACCACTCAGCTCACCCAACCTTGCTTCCTACCAGAGGAACACACCTTAGATTGCTGTGTGGCAGGGCAAGATATGACCCATGCAGTTCACCGTTAGTTCGGTCGGCCCTCGGTGTCTGGCCACTGGGTGGAGAGAGATCAGGGATTGACACTTTGAGACAGACGGTGTGACTGACGTGTGTCCCCCACCTCGAATGGGTTCCCCTCTGTCTTCCAGGTCCTCCAAGACATGGTTCCTCCGAAAAAGCACTTGCTGAGGCATCAGCCCGCCAACGCCCAGATCGGTTTGATGGAGGGGAACACCTTCTGCACCACTCTCCAGCCCAGACTGTTCACGATGGATCTCAATGTGGTGGAGCACAAAGTATTTTATACAGAGGTACTTTGGGGTGTGTGTGTGCCAAATGCACTCTGGGGTTCCCCGGCAAGCCACAGTTCTCTCAGAGCTGTTCCCTCAAGAGCAGTTTTCTCAGAGCTCTCTCAGCCTCACGTGCCTCACAGGGTGTCTGTTGTGGGGAGAGGAAGGGAAAGGAGATTGTAAACCGCTCTGAGAGTCTGAGTGAAGGGCGGGGTATAAATCCAATCTTCTCCTCCTCTTTCTTCTTCTACTGCAGACCAGCGTGGCCAGTTCTAGACTTCTCCAGTCATTAGTGCCTAGGGCAGCCCTTGTAGATTCATCACAGTGTTTTCATAGTAGCCACTAACTCACTTGGTGTATCTGATGAAGTGTGCATGCACACGAAAGCTTGTACCCAGAATAAAACTTCGTTGGTCTTAAAGATGCCACTGGACCCAAACTTTGTTCCACTTTGTGCCTGTAATTTTAGCATGAGTATTGAACCAGTTGATACTTCCATCTCTTTTGTGTGTGTGTTTTGCTGTTACATTTACTGCTTTTTAAAGCGCTATGTATCATTAGCAATATTTCTAGATAGTATTAGTAGCAAGAACAGTAACAACACATTATGGGCTAACATGAATAGTTCATGAATGAAGAAGAAGAGAAGTCGAGATTGGATTTATACCCCGGCCTTCACTTGGAGTCTCAGAAGAGCTTACACACTCCTTTCCCTTCCCCTCCCCACAACAGATACCCTGTGAGGCAGGTGGGGCTGAGAGAGCTCTTTCAAGGACTGCTCTTGAGAGAACAGCTCAGAGAGAACTGTGACTGGCCCAAGGTCACACCAACAGCTGCATGTGGAGAAGTGGGGAATCAAACCTGGTTCTCCCAGATTAGAGTTCATGCTCCTAACCAGTACACTGAACTGGGACCTTGGCTGAACCAATAGAAAAGAGCCAGAGTCCAGGAGCACCTTAAAGGACTAACAGAATTTGTGGTCGGGATGAGCTTTCACGAGTCACCACTCACTTTTGCGGAATGTGTGCTTATTTTGGAACACCGCTGGTTATTGTCCTTGTTATTGGTCCTTCCCTCATCATTGATTAATGCTTTTAAGAGTACTTTATTATATGACTAGTTGGCTAACCAGATCTTGTTATCAGTTGGGCAAATTGACCTGTTTTCCCGATGATCTTTCCCAGGGGGTAGGTGGGTGGAAAGCACCCTCAAGTCACAGCTGATTTACGGTGACCCCGTAGGGTTTTCAGGGCAAGAGATGTACAGAGGTGGTTTGCCATTGCCTGCCTCTGCGTAGTGACCCTGGTATTCCTTGGAAGTCTCTCATCCAAATACTAGCTGGGGCCGACCCTGTTTAGCTTCCAAGATCTGGCAAGATCGGGCTAGCCTGGGCCATCCAGGTGAGGGCTCTCGTTTTTCAAGAAGGTAGCTCTCCTAATTCCTCCTTTCCTTTTCAGTATTTTCTGTGTTTTTTAGTCCACATTTTTCGCTGAGGCTCAAGGCAGTTTATACAGTTGTGGAACAATACAGTACAACAGACAGACAGACAGACAGATAGTAAAATTTATTGTGTAGCCATTACAGTTTAAAACAATGTACGAATTAGACAACTTTCAGCACTGAATTAGTTTTTAATTATAACAACCTCTAAAAATCTGCACATTCAGTATTTAAATTAATTAAAATCTTAAATATAGACACCCGCCTCCAGAAGCACATACACAGCCTCAAACATTGCCATTTTACATTGCTGTTTTACAGTTCAGTTTAATTTTCCTGTGTTCTTGGCCCCAGCACAATGAGCAGGAAACAAATGCTGGGCAGTGAATAAAACCAGACTGCAAAATTAAGAGAACAGTCAGAGAACAAAGGCAGTTTTTAAGCTGGAGCTGATCTCCCAGGGGTCCTTCCCAAGCCGTTGATTTTTAAGTGGCTGGCTTCTGCTACTCCAAACGGTGGCAAGCATGCTTAAAATTCTCCCTGTGTTGCGACTTCCAGCTGATGAATTTGTGCGAGGCCGAAGACTCCGCTTTGATGAAACTGCCCTGCTACAAGAGCCTGCCTTCTCTGGTGCCTCTTCGGATCGCGGCCCTGAGTAAGTGCACAGCCTGGCATGTATAGAGCTGCCGTCCGTTTGCCTGGTAAGGATGGCGCTTGTTGGGGTGCTACAGATGCCCTTTCCTGCTAGAAGCCCTCAAGGAAAAGAATTGGGCATCCATCAGCCTCGGTAAATCACTCCATTTTGGCTGCGCAGAGGTGGTGTCGTGGGTCCTTGGCTGTAAAACTAATGTAATTGCTTTCTTCCAAGTCAGATTATTGGTCAGAAGGAGCTCCTACGACCCAACTCCACTAAAACTCAGGCTGCCTCTCTTTACGTAGGCTGTGTAAACCCCTCCCCGACCCATGTGACTATTAACCCTGCCCAGCCCTGCCAGTGATCACATAGGCTCTGTGAAGTGTAGTGCAGAGAGCTTTCACACATGGCAGCTTTCACACATGCTGCGTAGTGCACTTTTTCTGGTTTCTATTTGGCAATTCCAAGATCACATGTCAAGTTGCTAAATTTTGTGCATTAATTTTCAGATTATGGGGTTTGCACCTTACAAACTCTTACATTCAATTTTTTTGTCTGGCTAAACTGTATGCTGGTCTACAGACTGTAATAAACAAGAACTACAACAGCCCTTGAATTATGTGTTTGATCACGGCAGACCAATTTACTTGGTTTTTTTTGGGGGGGGGGCTGTTTTGGGCAGATGCCTTAGCTGCCTGCAATTACTTGCCGCAGTCGAGAGAAAAGATCATCGCCGCCCTGTTCAAGGCGCTTAACTCCACCAACAACGAACTCCAAGAGGCGGGAGAAGCCTGTATGAGAAAGGTGGGTGGCTCCCAGACAAAGCTTTATTTATTTTTGTATTTTTTCATATGTGCGTGTGTGTGCGTGCGTGCGTGTGTATGAGTGCACCTGGAAGTCATGGTGACCTCTGGTGACTGACCCCTACTGGAGGCCTGGAGGATATTCAGAGAGGTGGCTGAATAAAGCCTGCCCCCACTTCCCGCCTCTGGTATTCCACGGAGGTCTCCCATCCAAGCACTTGCCAGGGTCGACTCTTCTTAGCTTCTGAGATATGAGGAGATTGGGCTTGCCTGGCCTATCCAGGTCAGGGCTGAAACAAAGCTTTAGATCGATTTTGCTGGAAACAGAAATGGCTGTCGTGCCAAGCCTTGATTTCTTTTTCTTTTTTAACTTCCTCTGCAGTTTTTGGAAGGCGCCACGATCGAAGTCGATCAGATTCACACCCACATGAGGCCGTTGCTTATGATGCTGGGCGACTACCGAAGCCTGACGCTGAACGTCGTGAACCGTCTGACTTCAGTCACTCGGCTGTTCCCGAACTCTTTCAACGACAAGTTCTGTGATCAGATGATGGTACGGACGTGCCGCTGGGTCAGAAATGCTGTTCGTAAAAGGAACACGAACGTTTCAAAGCTGAAAAGTTATTTAATAGATCTGCAGGTGGCAAATCTGTTTATTCATCCCTGATTCAGCGGTGGGGGCGAGCGAATCCCAGACCTGAAAGTGAACGTTATGAATGGGACTCAGTGAAAAGGGAGATACGCCACTTTTCATCGAGTACTAATAAACCTCCAGACTTGTTAACGATCCTTCGGCAAGCGGCCTGTAGAGTTGGAAATGTGGCTTATAATAGTGTGACAAATATATTTATTTACGTTTACTACTTCATTCATATCTCACCTTTCTCCCAACGGGGATGCAAAGTGGCCGACATTCTCCTCCATTTTATCCTCACAACAACACTTTGGGGTGGGGGGCGTAGGTTAGGCTGAAGTATTCGGAAGGGGTACTTGAGAGTACAGTTGAAACTCTTGGCTGCTGGAGGGGCCATGGCTCATTGGTAGAGCCTCTGCTTGGCATGCAGAA